AGAGGCCAATTATCTTGCATGAAACATAGAAGACTGGCTTAGTCCACAGCATGTATTGAATAAAAGGTCGAATCTTAAAATTCGGATAAATGCGTAGCACTGTTTCTATACTAAAGTAATTTATACTGTACTTGTGAGTCTAGAAATATTTCATATTTCTTTCGAGTTCTTAAGCATAAAATAGTGGCCCAATCATTAAAAAAATTTCATTTGTTTTTCGCGCAATATTGTAGATATATTCATTGATTTTCCTACTGTCTTAATGGCGAATCAAACCTACGATGAGCCGCCTTTAAATGATGGCAATCCTTTACAAGTCATGCTGAATGATGATTTTATACGTCGTCTACCAGTGAAGCAATCTGCGACTATTGGCTCTATCTATGATGCTAGAATAGATTGTATTGTTGGCAACATATCGCTACCGAACAATGTCGTAAGTAAATCTAAAAGATGCAAATATGTGTATTGCAAAGTATTCGAAATCAATCTAATGAAAGTCGAAAATATAATCAATTCACTTGGGATTGATGATGATCTATGGTTAAGTACAACATTAAATATGGTTTCTTCAGACGGAGTAGCTGCGTTAGTCGATGATCCATTTAACACAGATATAAAAGCTCGAATACTTCATTATTGCTGTGTAAGCGAAGAAAAACGTGTTCAAGATCAAGTGTATGAAATTAGAGACACGATAAAAGAGGAAACGGCTAATATAGAAGCAACTCATATTGTTGCTGCAATCAGGTCAGGAATTCACGTTGTCGTTGTATTAAAATTACCTATGGACCGTGAAAATGAAATGAATGATCTTTTGGAAAAAATAAGAGAATGCTTAATAAACAATACTTTCAAAATAATGGACGCTGACAAAGATTTGTTTAATCAGCTCATTGTTACTAAAGTGTTTTCCAACATACCAGATATGAAGAAAATCAAAAAATTAACTGACCTATGTCAACAAATAATTGGCAAGAAAACTATCGTAGCTGTTCATCGTCCCTTGCAATGCTTTCTTCGTCCGATTCAATGGTTTTATCCGTTGCATGTGAAAAATAAAGCGATTTATGTCGCACTGAGCCGAAATACCATTCAGATAGTGAAGCAATATTTGCTTCCTTTGTGGTTTAAATTGAAGTCACTGCAGACCTTTATTGATTCAGAAATAGAAGAGTTATCAAGAGAACATCTTCCAAAACAACTTCATGTCATTCAAGAAGGAATTGAAACAATTCAATTGACATATTCAGTCAAAATAGAATCGATCCATGAGTTAGTTCTTCGAATTCGAAGTGGCAAGCTCAAACAAGATTTAATAGCTGACAGTTTAGTTGACACTAATGAGCCGTCATTGGAAACAAGTATCGATATTTGTCTCGAGCAAATTCGATCTTTTAAAGAAAAAGTAAAATTCATTAATGATTTAAATCATCGAAAAATGACATATTTCAACATGCAAAATCTTTCAATTAAACAACACGATGATCTGAAAACAATTTTACGAGCAACACTTCAAACAGATAAAGAAGGATTGGTATTATGTTGTACCGATGGCATGAAAGATGAAAACTTTGCCGACTGGAACCATCACTACAACAATTGGATGACAAGACATGAATCAAATAATTTATTAAACCTGATTTATGCTGATTTCTCCTATGTCACTTCGTTTCATTTATCAAATATACAAATTCTCTCTATAAATTCATCAAACACTGCCGAGCAGCAGTCTAATTTCTCAACTTCATCAATATCATCAGTAATAGAAACTATTTCATCAACCAATGCAAAACTTGACTCACCAGAATCGGTCAGTGTCTTCAACACAGAAACAAATCCTATACGGGAAGACAAACCCGTGTATATCCAACGAGCACGCAATGTATCCGATTCATCTATAGTATCAACATCTGGAATTGCGTTCGAACAAAATGTAGAATCTGAAGAAAATCAAGCAAAGTCTGATATATTGATACCATTGGAAACACTGAAACCAGTCGTAAAGCCTCGTTTAGCAAGAAAGTCACTAGCTAAAATGGATAATTCTGCAAATGCACATCAATTAGTAACTCCATCAACTGAAAATATCATGGAATTATCAACAGAACAACAATGTAGTACATCAAATACATCAAAAATAGGTACTCACTCACTTACTTCTTCTTTAAGCATAATTGTCACACTACCTGCTGGGCAGAACGATTCTGAAACAACGTCGACAACAAGTTGCATGTCTCTAACAGAAACGCAGTCACCTCCTAAAGATTCCGATGTCAAAATGTCCGAATCAAATACAACGCCTATTCCAACACCCAGACAACGAAGGAGGGAAATGAAAATACAACTTGAGTGTGAAAAAACGGAACAACATTTGCCAATCGAGCAAAACGCGTCATTATCACAATCGAAAAACGAACAAAATCTTGACCAAGAACTGATTCACAATGAATACTCAAAGAACAAATCGATTTTAGAGAAAACCCAGACGAATAGTCCTCGTCCTGATTCATCACATTTACCCTCTAGCAAACACATCAATGTTTTACTTCTCGGTGAATCTGGTGTTGGAAAATCAACCTTCATCAATGCATTAGTTAATTACATCAAATTTGAATCTTTCAAAAACGCTCATTCTAATGAACCTGTTGTCGCTATGCCTGTCTCATTTTTGCTCACAACCGGTGATCAGTTCCAAGAAAACATTGTAAAATTCGGTGATGAAGATACAAATGAAGATCACCATCATCCAGGTCAATCTGTTACTCAACATTGTCGATCCTATACATTTCAGAGTAGAACTCAACAAAAAATAAGAATCATCGACACACCTGGAATCGGAGATACACGAGGTCAAAATCAAGATGATCTCAACATTCAACATATTCTCGCATTTATCAGCAATCTTTCGCATCTGAATGCGATTTGTATTCTTCTCAAACCAAATGAATCAAGATTGAATATTGTATTTCGTTCATACTTTGATCGTTTGTTAAATTTTCTTGGTGAAAATGCACGTCACAATATTGTCTTTTGCTTTACGAATACTCGAGCAACGTTTTATGCACCTGGCAATACTGCTCCGCTTCTTAAAAAGATGCTATCATCATCCGCAATCAAAAATATTCCTTTCGAAAAATCGAATACTTTCTGTTTCGATAGTGAATCATTTCGTTATCTAGTTGCTTTGAGATATGGTATCAAATTCAACACATTTGAAGAGAATGAATATGAACAAAGTTGGACAAAGTCAGCAGTGGAGTCAGCTCGTCT